AATGCTTGACTTAATTTATTACCTATTTTAAGTGCATTGTAATATAAGTGGTGTGTATTATGTTTTCTGATTACCGAAGTTTCAATTTAAGTTCACTTATTGAAGGTAATGTCATAAAAATTAATTCGATTGATAAATGATATTTTTGGACAATGGTTTTAAATTAATTTCATGAGATTAAATTTAAAAGTAAATTTAGAAATCTCGTAAATCAAATCGAATATGTTAAGCCAACTCCCTCAGTGTCACTGTTTACTTATTACATACCCACACCGCAAACCAACAGTGAATTTATTAATTTTCGCTTCTTTTTTGTTCAAGACTCTGAACCTGACGGAGCAGCCGAATTTTTTTACGAAAGGATACAAGTGACTGAGTATGGTAAAATAACAATTTGAAAAAACTTCCATTTCGTTGAACTCTTCATTATCTCTATTTTGGGAATATCAAGAAGAAAATTAAAAGTTACTTAGCAAACAGGTAAAATATAATATAGTGACTGATTAATGCTATGTCGTTTTTTGGTGTTTTCATTTCCCCGCATTGCGATAACATGAGCCTAAGTCAAACTTTGTCGCGTCTTCATGTTTATGCATTGTTGCTTTTAACATTGATTCTTTCAGTTGTCGCATTTTCGCTTTCCATTCGTACATTCACACGCAAAGAAATTTTTTAAAGCAAATAACCTTCATGCGAAAGTTCGAAGACAAGCTAAGTAAAAACATCTTATCGATCGTTTTGCCTAATTTTCTCTCCCTTTTCCCTTTTTGCCTCGAAAAAAAACGCGGGTAATGCGAAACATGCAAGATTCGAAGATGATTTACCGGCTATTTTTATGTCAGACAACAATGACATAAGATAACAATACTGTAGAAAATAAACATGTTTCTTTTCTAGGCTAGAAAAAAGAAACACTGCTCAGTTTGAACTTTACTAAAAATACAGATATAATGTATAACACGGAAGTCAAATCAAAAACCATTTGTTGTTATGTAATAAACAATCAAACTTTACCTTTTTTACATTTAACTTATCATACCTAGTCATTGTGGTGGTAGGCTACAATTCGATAAGAAACTTCAGTGTCATCGTGACAATTAAAGATTAACTTCTAATGCGGTTAATATGTCAAAACGTTCAAGGCGTACCAACCAGTGCAGAGTATTATAACAAAAAAATACTCAACGGATTGAAAACAATTCATTATACAAGGAAATTAAGAGCTCACACAGCCTATCTTTGAAAACTCCTCATCATACGCAAAATAATTAACATTATATCTTCAAAGATTGCAGCATTAAACACAAATTATAACGGAAATAAAATAAATATTACTTCTTCTTACTTGCGTATTGTCTCTCATTTAGAAATGTGAATATACATGTATATACATATATATTCCCGAGGCTGGAGTCCCGGCTGCTTATATAGAACAGAACAGAACAGAAACTTTATTTTCAGACTTGTACAAAATACATCGTCTACACAATACAAACAATTAAATATATGTAAGTATAAGTCACATTACATAATAATATCATAGTCAAATGTTAGCAAAGCATATGTTTTATTGCTTAATTTATAATTCCGTTAATACAAAACATATCAAAATATTATCAAAGCAAAATGGAATCTATATTTAAAGTTAGACATTATGCAATCAATACTTATTTATCTACGCTATGTTACACAGAGGATTAACCGTGAATTCAACGATGTGTAACTGATATTCTCATAGCCAATGCTTCTCGTATATAACAAGCAAGGTTACGTAAAATAATCTTATTATCACTATTTAATAATTCTAAAAATTTATACATACTAGGTCTAACGTAGTAAAATTTCTTAATGTATTTCTTTCTAAGGTCATTGTAACAAGTGCAAACCAAAACAAAGTGGTACTCATCTTCAATATCATGTAAGCTACAGTATATACAAAAACGTTCATTTCTTGGTATCCTATTTGAACCATAACGACCAGACTGTATAAGTAACGGATGTGCTGATAATCTTATTCTACTAATATAATGCCTAAGGCTACTAGGTAATAAATCCAGATATTTTTCATACTGGAACACATTTTTTATCTCCTTGTATAACAATAAAACAGGACTATTTACAATATCAGCATGCCAGCTTTGTACAAAGGAATCAATTAAACGCTGCTTGAATTCTAGTAAAAACAATTTACTACATAAAACCTCTTGATTATGCCATACATACATAAAACCATACGACGATAATAAATCTTTAACACTTGAAAGCCAATTTTTCTTACCATTTATACAGTCTTCATAAGATATATTATAAATTTCTTTAAGAATGATATTGTCTGTTTGTAATAATTTAAGCCAAAACTTTACTATCCGTAAATATCTTGTAATGTATAAAGGATAACGAGCCAGTTCACCATAAACTGCTGCATTACATGTATTCATTTTAACATTAAGTATTCTTTTACAAAACTTAAGATGAATTCTTTCAATTTCTTTTGACTTACTATTTCCCCAAATTTCCGAGGCATAACAAAGAATGGATCCGACAAACGAATCAAATAACTGACATAATATTTTGGGATTAAGTTTATGCTTTTTACAATTTATAAGTAGAACATTTAATGCTTTTAAGGCTTTTCCTATTATCTGTTCCTGATTTAAAACAAACGTACCCGTGTAATTAAAAACAACTCCAAGGTAATTAAAATTACTAACAATTTCGAGTTTTTCACCATTATACAAAAATTCCTCATTAGATAACAACCCACCACGTTTTCTAAAAACCATTGCTTTAGTTTTATCAATATTAACATTCAGACTCCATTTTTCACAATATGAATAGAGAAGATTTAAACTTTTGTTAATCTGTTCTGGTGAATCACCCAAAATTACCATGTCATCAGCAAAAAGTAGAAGCATAAGTATAATATCATTTAATTGAAGTCCACTGTTTATATCCTGCTCTAAGAATAACTCGACGTCATCAATAAACAGAGAAAACATTATCGGTGAAAATTACCTCCCCTTGACGGAGACCTACAGCATATTCAAAAAAATCAGAATAACAATTACAATGTTTTATACAAGATTTAACCTTATCGTACATATCTCTAACAATACGTAACAATTTACCTCTAATACCAATATTATATAACTTGAGCCATAGGGCATTTCTGTAAATACTATCAAAGGCCTTTTTGAAATCCACAAATACACAGTATAGACGCTTTTTCTCATTTAGGTATTTTGAATAACAGACAATAAAATATACAGGGCATCTACAGTTGAATTACCTTTCCGAAAACCAAACTGTGCATCAGACAACAAGTTATTTTGTTCACAATAATCCATAATTCCTTTTATTTAAAATCGTTGTAAATAATTGAGACAAGCAACTAACTAGTGTAATACCTCTATAGTTATTAGCATTATTTACGTCTCCCTTTTTATGCAGTGGGATAATAACACCCTCAGTCCAGGATTCGGGGAAAAAAACCACTATCTAATATACAATTAAAAATATCGCAAAATATGACACCCTAATATATCAATAGATTCAATGAAGTATTCATTTAAAAGAAAATCATTCCCAGGAGATTTATTCCTTTTCAATGTTTTAACAGCCGCTGTAATTTCTTCAATAGTAAAATTCCTATCTAAAATTTCATCACCATTGTCAGTATTATTAAAATCATACATTGTTTCAAAATTTTCAGATTCATCATTTGTTGACTGAAAAATGTCGTTTCCAATAGACGAAAAGTATTCAAAAAATTCATCCACTGAAATATTATTCTTCGAACTAGTGTTATGTTTAAAATATTTCCAAAATTCTTGTACACAATTTCAAAACGAGTGTAAAACAGCGATTTTCGATATCAAACATGTTAGTTTTCCCATTTGAATATGATTTCTTTTATATTCTACTGGAGTTGTTTCTCAACAATATAGCTTTAAGGGTGAATTTTTCTTCAACACCTTTAGTTAATTGAGTGAACGCTTGAACTATGCCATTTATATAAAATAACTTCCGATAACAAGAAATATTTTAATACGTTAGTCAGAGATCACGTGACGTACACAAATATGTTCATTTACAAAAAACAAACAGGTAATTTAAATACATTTAGTTTTCTTCGTTTATTAATTTATTAGTAGTATGTAAACATCTTATTACTGTAATGATAGATGTGAAAGTCACGTGAATTTTTCAACGCAGGAATTTGATTTATTCTGACGATTTGGAATATAAAAAATGTAAGTTTTATCATTATCTATCATACAGATAGTTTAAATAATTATCAATAACTCTTTAAATGTAATAAAAGTTTGTACATCTTTATGAAAACAACTTTAAAATAATAATAAATATACTTTATAATTGTATACAGAATACGGAATCTTTAAAGATATTATCATACCTTTAAAATTTCATTATGTTCATTTAGTCAAAATAAGTGTACATTTTGCCACAATTCCTTTCAATTTTATAATTTACTTCGAACGGTGGATAAATAACTTACATAGCCTAATAGTTTTTGCATAATTATTCATCGGAATTTATTTGTCAAGTTCAATTTGTAAAGAGTGGGACAGTCAATTTATATTTTAGTCATATTTATATTTTATCCAAACCATTCCAATATCAACTGTAAGACAGTCAATCTGTTGAATTATTTAACCAATGACAATGAAACAATCTTGAAAAGCTTGTAAAGCAAGAAGTATGTTTACTGTTCATGATTTTTTGTTAATTTCAGTAGAACAGTAGCCTACCATGTTTTAATACATTATCCCATTCCTCCTCTTCCACCTCTTAATCATCATAATTTACATCATCATCATCATCATCATCATCATCATCATCATCATCATCATCATCATCATCATCATCATCATCATCATCATCATCATCATCATCATCATTATCATCATCATCATCATCATTATTAAATTTTCATCTCATTACAATTATTGTCATTATAATAACAACAACAATGATGGTAAGAATTATTATTTAATATTTTAATCATTACAAGCATTGAAGTTAGTTATATAAAGTATGCAAAGGGAGATAATATACGTGTCTACATTTGTTCGATATTCAGTACAGAGTTATCCCTCTTAGTCTAAAACTGAAAAACGTATATTTTCTCATCTATCAAAATGGATTTATTTACATGTAAAACTTCAAATGTAATAAATAATATGTACAATAAAACAATGAAAGAATTAAACTTAACTTCATACATGCTAATCGAATACTTACTAATCTTACATTATTGCTTTTAAATTATTAAAAAAAAAGTATAAACCAATTTCAAACGATGACATTCAATAGCTGCGAATGTATAAAATAAAAGTATAAATGAAATATAAACAAAATTTAAAATCATTTGAACAATATATAGTTCATTGATTTACAACAATTTCACCGGATATCTAAAAATAAAAAGTTAGATATATTAAGCGATATAAGCTATGTACATTATCTATATATAGAAAACTTCTTTGATTTAAATTTTCATGACATATTTAAGCGCTAAAATCAAATCTCCGATTGCTTACATACAAAAGATATAAAAGAAAAAAAACTGATTCAATCTTGAATGATCAACAATATCAAAAACTTATATTTAAAATAAACGATTTTTTTTTGCTTCAAATGTTCTTTATATATATATATATATTCTTATCACAATTTAGCGGAAGGACGGATTAGAGTCACTGTTAATAATTGCACATATAAATTTCACAATACGCTTCTCTCAATATATTAATGTTACATTATTTTTAAAATAATCACGTGCACATATTGTTAGCAGACTGCAAATGTAGTACATAATATAATAGAAGAAGTGTTTTCTACTATGGAAACAAGAAATCACTGCATTTATTCTTACATAGATGCATTGTAACAATGTTGTCTTTTTTCCATAGAATATTAAACAGCGTCAAAATACTCCAAGTAGTACGCATGTATGCATTAGTATCACATTTTTGTTAGTCACAATGTTCGTGTATATAAGGACACTTTTAGACCAGCAACGATTGTACATGTTCAGACTTCTCTTTTCTTTTACACAGCTCCCACATATTAAGACAACATACAAGAATCACCTGGAATTAGAGTTTTCAGTTAGAGTAAAATCAAAGGAGTATTTTAGCACTGTACAAATAGTTTAATGTACACTTTGTTCATATTCGTTTTGTCATTGTCAAAGCTTGATTATTGTGTTCTAATTAATTTAGTAATAGCATATATTTTAGGCTTGTCCAAGCATATATTTTAGGCTTGTCCACAACTCCACATATATATAAAACAGAAGTAATTGTGACAAAGTCTCGAAATTAAGAAGGAGATACGGAAAGAAAACTCTGACAAGTAAGAAATGACACATGTACTACTAGAGCATGTTTATGTGTATATACCAGACACAAACGTATAATGTAGAATACACATATTAAAAACCCCAGGCAATCTTTAATTGACTGGCGATACAGCCGTGTCTCTTAAGTAATTAAAGAAATGCAAATTGCCAAAGGCCTTCATTACAGTAGTATCATTAGCCAATATTTTCATCAGTAGCCCTGTGATATTTAAGTACCAATAAACAATTATTCAATGAGAGAGTTAAAATTACCAAGAAGGAGAATATTTTTTGAACAACTTTAAGCTAGAAAACTTGCTTCAAGTCACTTCATTTTTTTTTGTTATTTAACAGCTAGAAACAAGTATCGAAATTACGTCAACGCATAATAATTTATACATCTCAACCAGCTATCTATTCACATTAAAAATGTATAACCTTGAATTAAATTTTTGAATTAATTTATTCATTACAGTTGTAAAATGTTTATTGTATTGATCTGCTATTGATAATGTTTTTTTTATCTCATTAATTGTTCATATTTAAAAGATCCTTACCAGTATGTTTAACACTCCAGTCATAATAATCGAGTATAACACGTGCGGTGAAATTGCCTGAAAATGTATCAAAACAATTATGATAAACAATTGAAGATTAAATCAAAGGGAATTTTGCTTTGTTTTAAAAAAAAATCACTATTAACAAAGAAACGTGTCGTAATTAGGAGGGTAGAGATCATTACATGTTTAGAAAATACAACGTCAATGCATGTCTATTTAGGTAGTTTAACATTGTAAAGGTATAAGTTTTTACCTGCTTATATTCATACAGTCGTATTGTTTGAAATGTTATCAAACCAGTGATCACGCAACTCCATAACACCTGAAGTAAATACACTACAATAATACAAAATTGAAGTTAAATGCACCGATTAAAAAAAAAAAATAAATAAATACCCCCAATATAACCTTAAATAATATGAATTTAGTCAACAAATGAAAGTTGTTTTAAGTTTTGCGTAGTCGAATAAAGAGGTATTGTTTAAGTAAGTAAGTAAGTAAGTAAGTAAGTAAGTAAGTAAGTAAGTAAGTAAGTAAGTAAGTAAGTAAAGTCTTTATTTACTGAGGCTACACATTTGGTTTCCCAATCTTCCATGTGGGCCTCATAATGAAATCATTTTTGCCTTGTTGTTTGAGCATGCTTTGCTTTTGTTATATACAAGTCGGTGCATTTTACATTGTATAACAACGTGAGAATTTGCTATAGATTTGACACTATCTTTAAAGTATTATAGACTAAAAATTAAATCAATAATGAAATTTATTTATTTCAAACCGATTAGTTTGTCTTTATATCTCTGCCCTTCTATATATACTTCGGATAAAAATGTTAAACATTCGAGAAATCTGTTTCACTTGGAACAAGTAATCTTCTCTTTTATTTCGTTATACTTTTAAAAACTACCAAACAATCATTTTTGATTTACAATACGTCATCAGTCGGTTCATAATTACAAAATGTGAGAACCATATGTTTAGTTTACATCTTAACTCACAACTAACATCTGTTAGTTGTACACTACATTAAACAGCTTTCGCTTTAGTTTTCTTTTCTTAGACAGCTACCACTTTAGTTCTGTTTTCATAAACAACTACATATACAACTTAAGATATGTTTACTTAATGAATCTAGTGGAGTATCTATTCTTTTCATGTTTTGTAGAATAGGAATTGCGTTAGATAAAAATGCCAATGTGAGGCGGTTAAATCAAATCGATAGGCACATTTGATTTTGTAATACATATTTCTTTCTATAAAACAAGTAAATTCTGAATACAAAGCAAAACGACAAAGGTGAAGTTTCTTTACACGGAATGATGACATCACATAAAAATTACACATTAATATGTAGGATGAAAATATTTACAATCAGTCATTATATGAACATGTAACACATCTTACCGTTGCAACAAATGTCCTTTCAGTTGTGGTGACGTTCTTGCATTGTATACAGCATACAACGCTAGCTATCACATGCAAACATGCGCATAGTAGTATCAACATATATCTATATTTTAGACGCACACATTCCACATCAGGGCTTGTGCATGACATCAGACCAACGAAACCAACAGCTGTTAGCACAACTCCTTGCACCTAAAAGTGAATAAAAAACTTCATTGATTTCCATCCTATTCAGAATAATAAATCAATGTTAACCATTAATACCGGTCAATTGTGTACAAATAAAATATAATGGACGGATGGGTGTTCTTTAGGGATTCTGTTGTATCTATTTTTTTATACTGGTCATTTATGACAATGTATGATTTCATCAAACTGACAATAATTTGAAAAATTCTTTTTGTCATGGAAATTATAAAAAATTTACTACAAAGCAAGCAGTATAATACTAGTATGTACTTACAAAATTATCATTTTAATGTTTAAGTTGTGAAAAGATATGGCAGATAAATGTACACAGTCATACAGTATAATGTGTCAAAATGTTTTCTTTTTGTTTTTTTTTAAGGAAAAGAGTAAAACAGGTATTAGAGACATCAATATATACAAAAAGAGTTTTTTTTCAAACTTAAAATGATATAATTTATTCAAATAAAGTTTAATATTATGATTACAAGAAAAAGGCTTTTAATCCAAGTACTGGAATTACATCCTGTAGTTCTTTTCTGCATTGTCATTTCTAATTCCATTTCTGAAATAAAAAAAGTGCTTAATGAAGTTAATTCATCAATGATACTCAAGGGTTAATAATTGATTGTACACTGTAATTGCAACTGTTGGTTAATAAAATGTTGAACTAATGTCAGGTTGATGACTTTTACATAGTAGAACGACTACTTAAAATCTGCATACATTTGTAGTAAGGAGTTCAGAGTAAGGAGTTGTCCTGTATTTTATTCTGTATTCAACTCCTTATGTTTAAATGTTGATGTTTGCTTTAAAGCCGGTGCTAAGGTGCTACGGAATATTTCATTTGCCACCGCCGTCAACGAATATGCCTGATTCATTTAAACCAAAATAGAGAAAAACACACCATAAAGAGTGTAAAAAGCAGCAAAATTGGAAATGTTGTAGGCTCGGTTTGATTGAGTCTGTTCTGTTATGCCAGCAACATTTTCAATTAACCATTTTTTGGCTTTCTGTACAGTACCAACAACAGTACCAACATTTGAGTAATCAACTTGCTCCTCATGGGAGTTTGAATGGACGAGAGATTTCTTTAAGTCAAAGCCAAAATATTTAAGAGAATAAACATATATGTTTTTTTCACCACGACATCTTTTGGCGGTTTGATCATAACACAAAAAAGCACACATAAAGTTTGTTATCGCGTCGGACTCACTGACTTGAAACAACTGCTGATATTACTACTGACAGATTAGAAGCAAATTCGTATGGTTTAAAAACTTCTTTACTGTATATTTACCACATTTCAAGCATAGACCTCTTTAAAAGTAGCGTTTTCTGTTATAGTGACATTTGTTCGGATGTTTTAACAGCACCTTAGATTTACTGCGTAAAGCAATTCTGTTACTGTATCTGTTGTTAAATTCTTTCTCTTTCGATTGGACATTTTGTGTAATGTATATATACGTCTGTGACTAAAAGTCAAATTAGGACTATAATGATAAACCAGTATACATTATAGTCACTAATGTATTCAACACTGTTCAATGTCTAGATTGATATTGTGTCGTTTACCTTTTACAAAACTGGTGAAACAGTTTTAATAATATTTTTTCATAAAATTACTTCCCTGTTTTTATTGTTATTTCAGTTAACCAAAATTCTTTGTTACAGTATTAGTCATATCAAATAGTTCTTTTGTTTGTTGGTAAGATGTGGCAATTATCCAAAATGACTTTTATGTACATTTGTACTCTATACTTGTTTAACAACACAATATATTTAATCGGCTAGTTTTTTCTTTAATAACTCGAAACCTAAATAGTATATTGGTCAATGTTATTTCTTACTTTTCAAAAAAAAAAAATAAAAAAAAATAAATAAAAAAAAATTGTACTTTCGATTTTTTCCATGCGAGGAAGCTCTCCAGATAGCTAACAGGGTTGGTAGTACCTCTTAGATGAGCTACCAACTCGTGCCGGAAACAATGTTTCGGT